AGGATTTGATATATAGTATTTCAAGTTGTTTTGTACAAACGAGCGGGGGAATTTTAGGCGTGTCAGCCATTGGTTAAGACAGGGGGAGGGGGTGACAGGCTGTGAGGTTGTGTTTTTATTAGGGCTGTAATCCAGAGAGCAGAGAACATAGCGGTTCTCCTTTGTTTGGATGGTGAAACTTTTCCTGGAGGTTTTCTTGCAGGGTAGATGCCGTGAATAAAAATTAGTTGTTGGAATTATTTTGCAATCCCATTTTATTTATTTTTTTCTCTCTCTTATGTCTCACCCTTCCTGTTTTTCCCCATCAGAGTCAGTCAGGTGGAGCTGCGGGAACACATTGACAGTTTGGCCACAGGTAAGTTGGACCGCGGGCAGGAAGGAGGCGGGTTGGACGAGAGGTCGGAGCGAAGGTTCGCCTGTTGCATTCATGCTTAAATATACACCACCCCCTTGAACCAGGAAGCGGCAAGAACTTCCTCAAAGGGGTGAAAAGTATTTCACTTCTGCATTCTTTTGTAGGCACCTTTTGTGAAGGCTTTCAGGGTTTTGTGCTGGGCCCTCAAGTAGCGGGTTGATTCTGGAGGATCTTGGACAACCTCCCTTCTTGCCTGTTTCTGCTCTGGGGGAGCCCTAAGATTTGTACAGTATGACCCCCATACCCACTGGGGACTGGCTCCAAGCCCCTCCGTGGGTCCTGAAAACTGCAGATAATAGTGAACGCTATACATAGCATGGGAAAAGGGGGGGATCTGGAAAGAAGTATTTTCACCATGTAATACATCATGAAAATACGTATTTCTAGATATTTTTTTCTTCAAATGTTTTCTGACTGCAGATAAGTGAAGCAGTGGATATGGAAGAAAGTTAATTGTATGGGATTGGGTGGGTGGTGCCATCCAGTTTTGGTGGGATCCTTGAAAAGTGTTCCTCTCTTTGTTATCATCCCTGGCTAGAACTCTGCCGCATCAACGACGACCAGAAGGTGGCGCTCGACCTGGACCCCTATGTCAAGAAGCTGCTGAACGCCCGGCGACGGGTGGTCTTGGTAAACAACATACTGCAGAACGCCCAGGTGCGCACATGAGCGGTTGAGCCATGGCTGTCATTCGAATATTAGCTTCTTTTACTTAGCCAGCTCTACAGGGTTCGGTAGGCCAGGGAGTGGTCAAGTGTGGCTGGACTGCAGCTCCCATCATCCCCAGGCTGCACTGCCGACTGCAAGTGATGTGGGCAACTGCATTTGTCAAGACTGAGTCTAAGCACTCCTCACTGTTGGCTTCTTCCTGATCCGGGAAAGTTGGCCTGTCTCTCTCTCCCTTTCAAGAGGACTAGAAACTTAAAAGGTAAGAATGAGCTGGGAGAGGCTAAGGTGAGACTGTTTGTGAAATTTCCCACTGCAGGAGCGCTTGAGGAGGCTCAACCACAACGTGGGGAAGGAGACGGCCCGCAGGAAAGCGATGCTGGAGGCCAGCGGCAGCTACCCACAGGGCTCCCCTAGCAAGTGAGGAATGCGGGCATCATGAACTGACTGAGGTGCCGTTCCTTGGACCTGCAGGGTTCTCAAAACGTGCGGATACTGCTGACTTGTGGGGTTCAACCAGGATCAAGCTGGACTTTCAGACAAGCCGACGGACGAGCAAAAAAGGACTGCTATGCGTGGAAACTCCTCTTGCCTCCCTTGAGAAGTAAGCTGAACCAAAGGGTGGGTGGGCTCATGCACAGAAAAAAAAATATTCTAACACGCTACTCATCACAGACGGAGGTGGTACGATGGAGCCTCTTCGGGCTCTGCAATACGGCTTTTCGCTGGTGCAATAAAGTGGAAATATTCTAGCCAATATGGCCCTCCCTTCTGTCTTTGTAGCGCCCGGCTGTTTATTTCTGGAAGCTGGTTTCAATACCAAGGGAGACGGGATTGCAAACAACAGTTTGCTTTGTTTGTAAATATACCCGAGCGAGGGGGCGGGAATGGGAGCGAGGCAGAAGGAAACTGACAGAACGTAGCACTCTTGCAGACTAAAAATGCAAAGATATAAAAGCTCTGTTAGTCTGTGCAAGTGTCGTAGGTAAAAGCAGACTAGAAATAAAAAGTTTAAAAGGACAAAAATGTGCTGGTGCCTTCAAGTCTAACTTTTGTATTTTCTCAGTGCGAACTTTTCTCCACGAAAGCTCGCAGTGAAAAATACAGAAGTTCATCTTGAAGGTGCCACAAGTTTGTTGTTGTTTTTTTGTCAAAACGGAAAGGAGGTTCCCCACAGCCTTCCTCAGCTTCCTGTGCCCGGGAGCAAGTTCAGTGCTGTTCATGTTTTCCTCGGGTAAAAGGATGCTATGTTCATATGTGTCTCTCTCTTATCTGTCCAGAGTGAATAGTCAGCGAAATATATTTGAGCCCCCGCTGCATAAGAATGACAGGAATGTTCAGAGTTGCAGGCAAAGTAAAACTCCTTCCAATTCCGAAGGGAGGAATCCAGATGTTCGGGGAAGAGACCAACAGGGCAAACTTTACAGAAAGATCTGAAGGGTGAGAGGCTTCCTGCTTTGATCGGGGTTTTTTGCACCCTCCCACAGCCACTGTTCGTTTTAAAATACCACAGTTAAGAGTGCAGCCATATGTCTAGGAGTGGCTAAAGTTGGCCAGGGATCCGAGGTGAGGTGTCCTAACACTGCTAAGAACCCACTCGCTGAGGGGGGGAGGCCGAACCACAGCATGTTGCCCAAGGGGGCGATCCGGCACTTTAGATGAACCCTTCACAGCTTTATAAAAGGAAAGCACAATTTTTAATGGTCAGAACTATAAAAACAAAGACAATAGAAATAACAAGAGGAGGACCCAGGCTTGGTCCTGGACTACAATTTCCGTCAGCTGGTTCATCCGTCAAGTATTGAAGGCAGAGAACGTTCCCCTGGAAGACAGAAACAAACTGGGTGCAAACACATGCTTTAAACGCCCGTTTTTACCTTCCTTCCCAACACTGCCCGTTACCGTACAAAACCGCTGTGTTTGGAGACCACTTTGTCAAGGTAGTAGGAAAAGAATTAATTCCCACGTGATCTTGGTTTTGGTAGTTAAGAGAGAAGCCGCCGCCTCCCCCTGATTTTCGGAGGTGCCGAGAGGAAGCCTGAATTCCCGCTCTCAGCAATCCTCTTTAAACTGAGGCCCTTACCGGAGAGATCACTCCTGAGTCTCCATGCTCTCCTCTTCTTCCCCAGCCGCCGGCTCTTCCTGGTTCTCCTCCTCCTCTTCCCCCTCCTTCTTCTCGGGGGGCTTTTCGTAGGCCTTCTCCGATGGGGTCACAATCACCCCGTCCCAGGTGGACATTTCCGTAGCCAGATCTGCAAAGCACCACAGGGAATGGGGGCTGGAGCTGCTGCTCACAGATGTAAGAACTGAGGAAAGTCGTTCCTTGGTTTGGAAGCAAGTCGCCCGCAAGCCAGCCTTAAAACGCTCCATCCAAGATGGCGCTAAATCCAGTTTAAGCAGGCCTCAGATTAGCTTGCCGTGGTAACCAGGGAATTAAATGCCTATGTACACACGACATGACATCCCTCGTGGCCACACATGCCAAACCTCCCTTCCTTTCAAGGGGCTCCGACTTACAGCTGGCATCTCCTTCCTGGCCAAGGATCTTCCGGTACCCGCCGTGAGACAGAATGCGGACGAGGGTTTGAGCCGTGTAGCAGACCATGTCCTAAAAAAAAAAAGGGTGGAAGAAAAAAGGGATCGGCGTGTTATAATCGCTATTCCGCCTCTGGTGTTTTTAGTAATATAGAAATGGCAACTTGGCACGTCTTTCTCCTGATTGCTAATAGTGACATGATCTAATAGGTATGAAACAGTTGTTTGGGCTTAGATGTGTGAAAACATCGTCAAAGCCAGTGTGTAATACACCTCTTATCGCCACAACTCTGATTGATCAAATGGCCAAGGGAATGATGTGGTCAGGGTTTAATCCACGATGGCTAGGATCTTCCTTCTGCCACCAAGGAGACAAAACAGGGACCAGGCTGACCTGCTGCTCCAGGGTCATGACGGTGTGGACTCTGAAATTCCCGCTCTCGCAGGGGTCGGTGATGCCAACCGAGCCGGGAAGGAAAAGCCCGGCTGCCAAGATCTGGAGGCAGCGCCTGGAAAGAAGGAAGCCGCACGGTTAGGATGATCCAAGGGTGCTGGGGGGGGGGTGTCATCGCTCTCTGTTTGTGGGTCTCTTCGAAGAGGCACTGTGGGATCCAACAAATATGAAATGTGTGTATGGGAGGCTCGGGGGGGATAGTTGGTGAAAGGTATACAGTATTTCCTGTGTATGCGCTGTTCCCCCGAAAATAAGACCTAACCTAAGAATAAACCCTAGTATGATTTTTCAGGATGCTCATCATATAAGCCCTACCCCAAAAATAAGCTCCAGTGAAGTGAAACCCCCCTCTCCACCCTTGTGCAGCAACCAAAGTAGAGGACAGGGCTGTATCTGAATAAATGTAGATTGTTTTACATGAAAAACATCCCCTGAAAATAAGCCCTAATGCGTTTTTTTGGAGCAAAAATTAATATAAGACCCCGTCTTATTTTCGGGGAAACAGGGTAGGAAAAACTCTAAAAGCAGCAAAGCTGAGGACAACAACACCCAGCTTCACTCCCTAGACACTGCCTGACTTAGAAATGGGAATTCCTTAAAATGGGAATTCCTTGCTAGCAGAGATTAGTCTTGTGAGACTGATTCTCTTCTCCAGCCATACTCAACCATGAGATCTTGATGAAGAGGAAACACAGGCGGGGGGGTCTGCAGCCCTGGAGTTACAGTGGCTGCAAGACTAGGCATAAAGAGCCCTTTAATTCTGATTTTTTTCTGTGTTTGACTCATAACTTATTACTGGTTTCATTTCCCATATAACTGAGAATTTAAAGGAGGGAGAAAACTCCGAGTCCAGCGCGCACAAGGAGCAGCAAGCTTCTTTGGGACCGCTTGATGGTTCGCTTCCCGGAAACCCCAGATTTCAGAACAGCTGTAGGGTAGGAACAGGCAACTTGCAGACCGCCAGGCTTTGTCTGAACGCAGCCAGTTGGCTTTCTTAACTGTATTAAGCGGCAGTGAGGAATAATGGGGAATTGTGATTTTTAACAACTTCCGGGAGGCCGCAGAGATACAGACGGCTCCCCTCTCCAGCTTTCAGAGAAGCAACATCCCTTCCGACCCTACCTGTAGGCGACGTTGAGAGCCAAGGGCTGCCGAGTCGGGTTGTTCATGACGGCATAGTGGCCCTAGAAGAGGCGAGGAGAGATGAGGAACATAGGTTTCGGAGCCGGATTTCCTCTCCTTCTGCTCTTCCGCATCCCCGCCACTCTGCTTGCTTGGAATAAGCCCTGCCTTATCCATAAGTCTCTGCAATACCCTCAGGGGGATGTATATTTAGTTCCCAAGTGGAGGAAAAGGCTACACAAGAAAGGGCCCGGCGTGCATCATCTCCTAAAACTCAAGTGCTGTAAAATCAGGCTATAGTCTGGAATGTCAACCCATCTCCACACCTTTTCTCGGTCCCTTCCCCTTCGCTGTCCTCCTTAATCTTTTGAACTTCCAGACGAAGAAATAACCCATCAAGAAGGTTAAAGGACTGTGGAGCATATTCCAATCAGGTCTTTTAAACACGCTCAGCTCCATAGAACAAGATGCTTCACGGCACTTCTTAAGGAATTAGTGAGCAAAGATGAATCTATTAGATGTAAACTCAAACAGGAGACCCTTCCACCCCTCTGCGCCCCTTTCCACGTACCAGCAGGTCAAGGATCCAGGGTGTGAGGGGCTCGAAGCCTGGGAAACGCATCCTGAGGTCCTTCAACAGGCGGATCAAGACCTTCACCCTGAAAGAAGATTGGGGGGGGGGAGTCATTCCAGCAGCAAGCATTGTCGCTCATTCTCTCTGGAATACTACGCTACGCCCTTCTCCCGGTTGAAAAGAATCTGACAAATTCGAACACAGCCCAAGAAAGCACTCCGCCTCATGCACAACTAAGGTTGTGGGACTGGTCTAGTCAAAACCAGCTGATGGGAGGTGGTCAAGGCTGCATTCTAAAGCAACTGTGTGAATTTATGGAAGAGATGTGTGGCAGAGGCCGTACCACCTGGGATAAGGCCAGCTCTACGAAGCAAGCACAAGGACGACTTACGTGGACTGAGAGGCGTTCTCCTCAAACCAACGGGCGTGCCGTATAGCGGCCAGGGCGCTCTGCAGCACTTTGATATCCACTGATGAAGGCCGAAAGAAAGCAAGAGAGAAGAGAGCATTGGGGTCCTTTGGAAGGGAAACCCTGTGGCCCGCCCTCCGGGGAAAACCCTCCAGCCGTTCTGAAAAGGTGGCAAGGCCCCTTTGGGCCAGGCTGGGGCTTAACTCCTCCACGCCCCCCCGCCCAGATCTTGCCCAATCCCTGCCCCTTATTCGCCTCCCCTCACAGTTCAAGGTCAAGCCTACCCCCCGAAATCTTACAGTGCAGCTCAGGGTCCAGCTTGCGAAGATTGGGAGGCACCGTGGTGATGAGGATCTTCACGGTGGCGTCGGCGGAGCTGATTTCAAAGCCGGTCTCGTTGGTCAGCATGGTCAGCACTGGGTGGGGAAAATAATGGAAGAGGGGGAAACACAGCAATACGGAAAGTCACTTAAGAGAACCGTTCTGACGCCTGGCGAATCAAGATCCCCACCCTGCTGGTTACCGGGTTCTACTCAGGACTGTGGGCTTCTATTTCTATGGTGCGAGAGGAAATCTGGGCTATCCTTGAAGGGAATAACGAGCACTCTTTGGGTGCGACAAGCCTGCCTTCCCTCTGAAGCGGTTTTCTTTGGATCTGGGTCACGGCACTCACCTTCCGCCGGGTCTTGTGCTCTCAGGCTCTCCACCACCTTGTTCCCCAAAGCTGCCACGGCTTCCACTGCGGAAAGGGACCGAGCGTCAAGGCCGTCGTGTCAGAGCCCCCCCCCCCAGTCCAGCCTACCCTCCCTCTCTCACCACGGATACTTACATGTAGGCAGGATTTTCAAGATAACAACTAGATCAGCCACATTGTGACCGGTCATCATGGTGCCTTTCTTGTAGGATCCTACCTGGCGGACCTCTTCAATTTGCTGGTAAGGAGCAAGAGAGAGAGAGAGAGAGAGAAAACCCCAGAAGTCTTTATAAATACAGACAAAAATTTGGGATGCTGTGCTGCCAGCTATGGATGGGGCACCCCTGGTCTGTTCTTAGACACCCTCTGGACCCGTCTGCCTAGCAAACTCTGGGCTTGTTTCCTTTCGTGAATCACTCTAGTCTGATCCAAGAGGAGGATGTTTAGAAAAGGCGGTCTGGGACCCCAAATTCCAGTCCGTGCCGCTGAAGGAGACAGGGCTGGCCAGCAACCAGGCCTCAAGAGGAAAGCAAAATGTCTTCCCCGCGACCTCTTGGGGAACTGAGAGCAGAAAACTCACCACTTCGAACGTTCCGGGGGCCACGATCAAATTATCAATCACGTTGTTGATCTTGGTCACCAGGGAGAGGATTGAAGCCTAGTGCAAGGGAAGGAAAAGCGAGCGGTAAAGGACGTGGTCCTTCGTGTCAAAGTGTGCTTAAGATGAGAGACTGCTTAGCTTTAACACTAATCTAGGTTACCTGCTCAGCTGAAGTTGGGGCAAGGTCTTGATTTCTCTTCAGTAAGGCTTCACTAAAGGCCGTCTCATCCGGGGCTGGCTTCACCCGGGGGAAAGCCATTTCACACTGAAGGCAGAGGAGAATGATCTTTTTAACTGCTTTCCTACTCGAAACACCACCTACTATATTCCCCTCTGATGGCATGATTTAAGGAATGTCTCTGTGTTGATGCTTAACATTCCACAATAGCAAGCGGCCATTGAGACAGATCTAATTGGTGAGACAGCACCCTGCTTTTTATGTTTCTAAGTACCCAAGGAAAGAAACCACACACCGCAAACTGAAATAAAACCTTATTTAAACCATGAGGCAGGACCGACTTACCACATAGAAGTCAAAGGGGATGTGAGGCACAAACGGACGGAACCTGAAAACACAGGTAACAAAGGGGTTTCAATCTCACCAAAGCCACTTCACAGATGTATTTGGTTGATCTCACAAGGCTAATGGGGTGGTGTAAGGGGAATGGCAATTTATTTAAGGATTTTACGGAGGGGCGGGAAGGAGAGAGAACTACCTGACTCTTTGCAATTTTAGATGCATGTTCCAATGGGTTTGGGGGAGTTAATCCCCAGCAGGCTTTCCAAAAACTTGGACTACGATTCCCATGAGCCCTAGCCAGCAAAGCAGATGGTTAGAGCCGCTCCTGAAAATGGTTCTCTATCCTGTCCTGTTTCCCTGAAAGCCCTGGTTCCCACCTTGGGAGGGACCCAAATGATCTGATGTATAGCTATGGTACATTATAAAATGAAGAGGTCTGGTTGATTTCTCATGTGGGGACAGAGAAGGCCAGGGATGGAACTGGGGAAAGATTGTTGATTATCTAGCTAGGAAAGCAAAACGAGTCTAGAAAAGCAGCTAGGTAGTATCAGGATGAGGCCCCGGCTACATGGGATCACAGCTGGGAGGTAATCAGTTAACAGGAAGTCAGGAAGTTATAAATTGAGCAGGGCCCAGGGAAGCTTTCCTTTGCAAAGCAGAAGCACCTTATGCAGGTTCAATAGAAGAACACACAGTGGCAAGGAAGCAGCTGCCACCTCTTTCTGGCCCCAAGCTTTCCCAAGCAGGCTCAGGAGCAGCCAAGCAGCCGTCACAGAATCACGAAGAAAGAAGCATCAAGGTAGGTCTGCCTGTTTCAACTTTGTGCACTTAAAACTCCCACTGCTGCAAAAGTGGCTTAATTTTTCCCTAAACAGGAGAGGCCGGGGAAAGCAGGGAAGAGCCCGGTGGTGGTGGGAGATGGCACCTCTCAGGGTTTCAGAGGGCTGTGTTCTACATCCCTCCGATTATCACAAGCCTCCAGCTTTTATGTGGGACTTACCCGCTGCCAGGGCCTCCCCGGGAACCAAAGCGCCCACCACGGCCACGGCCTCTGTCACCTCTGAAAGAAGCCAAGGAAGAACAAGAGCAGGGTTAGCTGAAGCAAAGGGGACCCCGGGAGGCTGGTGGCGCTTCCTTCCTGGGCCCTCCCTCCTGGGGCAGCCGCCTCCTCTTTGCCAGCAAAGCACAGACCCTCCTGCATCTCTCTCTGGGCAACGTGGCGGGAAAATTAATCCTCTTTTTCTGCTCTGCTACCCCTGGAAATTGCAAAAATGGACCTCCCAAGAACCTTCGCTATCCACCTGTCTCTTCCAGCTCATCTTGCCTCCCTGGTGAGCTCTTTCTCTCTCCCCTCCAAGCTGTTATGGTGGCTTGCATTTCCTTGCCACCTTCCCTCTCCAATGCCTGCAAAAATAAACGTGCTGCTCCTTCCAGGGCAGTGCCTTCGTGAAACCAACCCAAAAAGGCCACCGGATACTCAAAAAAAGGCTTTTCACAAGACCTGGTGGACTGGTTCCCTACCCCAACAGCCCTTATTCGAGCCTTTGCACCCCGTTTTGAGCTTCCCCCCCCCGTTATTATATTAAGAATTAAACTGTTAATAGATTGAGGGATTCGTTCAATACCTATCCATGCCACTCTCTGTGTATCTATATCTGTATACACTCTTCTGCTTGTTAACCACTCTTAGAAGTGTGTGTGTGTGTGTGTGTGTGTATATATATATATTAAGGGGTTAGAGGCATGCAGAGGGGTGTGTGTGTGTGTGTTTAGCTTCTCGAGCCCTTCCAGGGAGCCAGACTTCCTTCTTCGTAGGGGGAAGCATAATAATAAATTTAAAATATGCAGGCCTGATTCTTCTAGCCTGGCTGGCGAAGGGGATGGGGGTGGGGTGGGGTTCCAGGCCAATTCCTTCCCCT